AACTAATAAACATTGTTAAACTAATAAAATGATTAAGTAACATTTATTAAAAACAGAAGATGTAAAAAGATAAAAATACAAGCATTGATTAAAATATATTGTTATTATTTCGAAAACATGTTCTAAACACAACGAACACAAGTTATAAAATGACTAGAGAGCCCTTAAAAGTAAAGACAAAAGTCAAACACATTTTAAAGGGTTTTTGCATTTGAATTATACATGTTTAAATAGCAGCAGTACAGACCGAACGTTTGTTTTGACTAGTTTTTATCAGCAAAATATGTAACAGACTTCTTGAGAATAAGATCTTTCCCAGGGGAAAGAAGAGAATGAAAGGCTTATTTTTTTGATAGTCCTCCAGTGAGGACTGAAACAGTTTAGTTTGAAAGAAGAGGGCTTTGACCTCAGGTGGTCAAAGGTCAACCAGTGGCGAGATGAGGTGAGGTGAAATGGGCGTAAACACTACATTGGTGAATGCCACAAATTCTCCTAAATCACTCGTACGCACAACTTAAGAACAAATCTGTGCGTACGAACGGTTCTTGCATGAGGCCCATTGTCTCTTTTTTCATGCACATAAGTCATTTTGCACTTTATTTTGTAAAAGTATACTGTTAATGCATATTAAATATATACTGGCCCCTGGCCCCTCTCATAATTGGGAATTAAAGAAGCAAGAACCAGATTATGAGTGCTGACATGTCATGTTTTTAAAGAACAGTATCTGCACATTTGGGATGTAGAGTTTTACACCACACACACATACAGAGTTTCATGACCTCTTTTTTTTAGCATGAAGGGTCTATTTACAATGAGACGTTTGTTTAAAAATATATATTTTATTGTGTATGTCTTTATTTGACCAAGGGCAATCACCTGTTTGTTTACACAGAATGGGTGGGGTTTAAAACTTGTACTAGAACCAGCCAATAGAGAAAATACGTCCTGCTCCAACTCAAGTAGGGGTCTCTGTGGACGAGTGAGGACAAGTGGGCGTGTCACAAGGAAAGGCGATTCTAAAGCGACACACCTGATTTGACGGACTTTGTTAAAGGGACACACCTGACTGGACAAGCAAAAAAGGGGCGACACCATACGGCACCACCTGATTGGACAAGAACAAAAGGGGTGTTGCTGTACGGCACCACTTTTTCTGGAGAACCCTACTTGGGTCACATTTCTCCTGGTTAACCTTAGTGTTGGGGTCAGGGTCCGGCTGTAAAGAGATCAAGCAGGGTCTAAGGATACCGTCATGTAGGCCTCGTAGCCCACAGCGTTTATGCTTTTGACACGCCCACTCTTGTGACACGCCCACTTTGATTCCGCAGATAACCCCTTCTCCTCCAACTTCTAAAATTGGTATGGGCCAAAATCAGAATGGGCAGGTCAGACTTTATTAAAATTGGTGATCGGCCAGAAAACTGTAATTGGTGCACCCCTACTAAGCTTATTTAGTATCACAAAGGAAAAAAATATTTTATTAATGTGTACTGTAGTCTTTGACAGGACTTTGCACTTTAGTTTATTTCACTTTTTTCTATTAGACACTTTCACAAAAGCAAAAAATAAAATAAAATAAAATAAAATAAAATAAAATAAAATAAAATAAAAGAGATCCAGACATAGATTTATCAGAAGAGGAGAATCCAACGATCCGGACAGGAGAGGATGACGACTCAGATAGGAACCAGACAAGGATGACCAAGATGGGGGACTAGATATAATGTTCTGTTGTCCTGTCTGGGCCAAAACCAACACGGTTCTCAGATTTTTGATTTTGAGCAAAAAAGTCAGAGTAAAATCCTGATATGTGTTCCAGTCATGTAATTTAACTTCAAGTGTTGTAAATAAGATATCCAAGAGATCAATAATGCTAAAAGGACATGCCAAGAGACAAAAAGAAGAAGCAATCAGTTGTTTATTGGTGGCCTACAGATAGTGAAGTCAATAAGTTTGAAGTTAAGCTCTGACCTACCTTTCTGTTTTTTTTATTTTTAGTAAAAATGTTTACTATGTTTTATTATACTCTTTCCACCAATTTTAGAAGAGTTTCCAATTTCATCCTCAGCTGCTGAACTTGAATGAAGCTTTCTGGTTTTATACTGAGTACTTGCTATCAACAAAGTCCTGATGTCCACTGTAGTGTACGTTGTAAAAAAATAAAAATATATCTAAAGTAAACACTTGATTTGTATGGAAAAAAAAATCAAAATCAAAAAATACTTTCCCCCCCCAATGGGTCTTAGGAATAGATGACAGTGCCCATAAAATGGTTGAAGACAGGATGGATGTTGATTGTGTTTACGGTATGCATTTATAGTTTCATTTTTTTCATTTCATAGCCCCTTATTTTACTACGCAATATACTAATTACCATGTGGAGTTACCATGTAATTATTGTTTAATCTGACATGTACACACTTACTCCTCAACATTGTAACGAGTTAATGCAGAATCATCAAAGTCCATCCATCCATCCATCCATCCATCCATCCATCCATCCATCCATCCATCCATCCATCCATCCATCCATCCATCCATCCATTCTTAATACAAGGCGTAGAGTACTTTCTTCCTTTCAGGTGATCTCTGGTACTCACGGGTGTTGGAGGTGTAGCTCGCACTGGTCGGCGGTGGTGTCTCTGAGTCCAGAGAAGCTGTGTCCTCATCCTGGGAGCAGCCCGCCTGGATGGCCCGCAGGTAACTGTGGCTGCGGGAGCGGAAGCACGTGGGCGCAGGCAGGTCCAGAGCCTCCACGGCCTGCGACTCTCCCTCAGAGTACGGCAGCGAGAGCCCACAGCCCTGCACGCATACCTGAAGGAAGGTGTGCACACTCACGTGATCAGGGCAAAGGGTAGGCAGACGCACGTACATGGACATACCCTCGCAGGCGGACATGGTACAAAGGTGTTTCACTATGAGAAAAGTGTCAGTAAACTATTCTCATATATTTAGAATTGGATTTAAATGAACAGAAGCACCACTAATACCAGTAAATTTAAAGGTTTTTTTTTTTGCACTAAAATCTTCTCTGAGACTCAAAATAAATCCAAGGTGTGAACAACAGTTTACTATTTAAGCTAATTATTAACATTCAATGAACATGTGGTGTGTTTGGTGCAATGACTCCAAATGTAGCGTCTGTTGGAAATTTATACAGTAAACAAAAATCACTCCTACTCCTCAGTCTCAAGAGTAAAAAAAACTAGATCTACATTAACCATCATCTATAAACAGCATATTTAATTGTCTTAACTGTAAAGCATGAAAAATCCATTACATAAGCAGCACTGATAGTTATTTTTGTTCTTGATGTAGGAAAAGTTTAAAAAAATAGCTCATGTTTCAGTGCACAGGGTGCTGAAAATAGCTTTTCTTTCATTGTGACCATGAATCGTGACATCTGGAACAGGGTTACACAAAAGGTTTTTTTTTAAATATTTTTTATTTCCTTAGCAAATATGATGTGAGTGATGAAACTGAGGCCCAATAAAATATTATTCAAAATCATTACACTATAAATATACTTGATTATCAAAAGGCTATTTTAGTTTGACTGACTTTGCTTTCATCTCACAAAAGAACAAGCGCCTCAGCTATTTTTTGATTTTCATGAAGCACGTTCTAAATATGGTAACGTTGTTGCTACTTTACAATTATTTTTGATCTCATCTGTTCATGGTGTGCTGTTTTTCTTTGACAATCTACAAACTAACAGATTTTTATATTTATAACGGGGTTATTTTAAATTTAGAGTTTCGATTGACATCAGTCCCTGCTCTCTCCTGCAGCCAGTGAAGGTTTGGGCTGATTACTATTCATTTAACACATTTATTCTCAGTGTTTTTAGGATAAATAAAAGCATGCGAGAGAAATGAACATAGAAAATCAAACGCCGGAGTAAATTAATCGAATCTGTTCACGTACCTGAGGGCCGAAGCTTCTGCCCAGTGTGCTAGAGCATTGGCTGAAATCATTCCTGTGACGTGGTGGGACTTCCAGGGGGCCCACCAGGCAGTCCAAGTTATCAAGACTTCGATTAGTGGACAGCTCTTTCAGGGATGGCAGAGAGCTGTGGAAGTAAATTTAATAACGAGGCTCTCAGAGATCTAACGGTTGAATAAGTTAAGTTTGTTGATGATATTCAGGGGGATGCTTTTTGCACTCTAAAAATGATCCCCTTTGGTGTTTAGACTTTAAACATGTGTGCGTGGTCATACATGTTGGGCTTTAAAACAGCAGCACAGAGGAAACAACGATTTATCAGCAAAACTTTTAGGATCTGTTTTTTTAAAGTGTACTTTTCACTCAGTTGTAGAAACCCATTTCCTCTGTTCTGGCTTACTAGTTTGGCATGTGGTGCCAGGGAAAATGTGCGTGCACAAGTCAACGCGGGGGTTGCTGGAGTGATTTGCATGAATAAATTTGCATGTTATGACGCTGAAAGGTTTGAGGAAGCAGGCTGAGTGAGTCAAGTACAAACGTGTGGCTCAGGGTACCTGCACGGTGAGGGGATGGTACAGGGGCGGTAAGAGGGGGGAAATTACTGTGCAGATGTGGGCAGAAGAAAGGTGGTGGGTAGAGGCAGTGGGACAGTTGAAGGTGGGAAAGGGGGGGGGGGCACACTGTCCACCTAGGAAATCACACTGACCTCAGATGCTGCATAGAGCACGCACTCTGCAGAGGAGACCACAGATAATCCTCCTGCATGAGAATGTAGCAGCGGGGCCTGTCCATGTGGGTGCAGGAGTAAAACACACGGTCACATTTTTATCTCCTGTCGCTCTTGCAGTGGATAAAGTTCATACTGCTTGACTGTTTTCCTCTTTCACTAAGCTCCATAAGCCTATGCAAGCTGAATTTTGCTAACTGCTGCAGCATGTCAAGACAACTATTTGAGGCAATATGCTGCCCCCTGCTGGTTCCTGTTTCAATAAAGGGTAAAAAAAAGATGCAAAGTGATTTTGTTGAGCATGTGTGCTGTGGGACTCACTTGCGTGGGGGTGCTGGAGGCTGCTGCTCGCTCAGAGAGTGCTGGGTGGCCTTCAGGTAGCTCTGGCGACGAGCTGCAGATTTAGGAGAAGGTTTGGGACTGCCCTCTGACTCCTCGCTGTCTTCTGGGTCTCCCATTGCTTTCACATAGCTGCCGCTGCGCATCCTCCTGCACGGGATCTCACTTCCTTTAGTTCGCCCCTGACCCAACGTTCCTGACCAGTCCTCCATGGGGACCTGGAATTTAACAACAGACAAATTTATTGTCCACTGAGCCATGCAAATAATCTGATTATTTCTTCAATCCAACAAATCAAGTATTCACTTCTTTAGAAATCTAGGAATGGTTCTTCAAGAAGAAACATGGATAAATGTGATAAGATAACAGGACAGATAACAATCAGAGGTGTCAGGTAATGAAGAACAAATACTTTGTTACCAAACTTAAATACTTCTTTTTAACATTTAAATTGTTCAGTTGGGGTCTATATAAAGTGGAAAAAATTAATTTAAAAATGTCAACAACGCAGAAGACTTGTCCAACCATCTGTTGGAGCCAGAGTCTGACCCACAGTCAGAGGAGAATGAAATTAGTGGTTGGTATTTTACACCTTATTAGAAAGGTCTGTCACAAATAATTTGATGTAACAGTTCAGAAAATGTCACTGAAAATAGAAAAAACTGAATGGGATAAAAAAAATGACCCAAACAGGATATAAAGATAGACACTTTTCTGTACTCCTAGAGACTCCAAGTACACATCAAAATGCATGGCTAAAAAATAAATTTTGCCCCTTTAAGCAGAAATTTTGGTTACTGGAGTTATGTTTCAGCCTTTTTTGAACTTCAGTGCCTTTCATTTTCAAGCAATTATCTGTACTTTCTACTCCTTAGATTTAAAAAATGCAGTATGAAGTATTTCGTTTCTACTTCCCTTCATCTTGTTTTTATTGCAGCTTGTCATCGTTCAGAAAAAATCTATCCAGATATAGCTATGGCACCTCTTGGATAGAGTGGATTTAATTCTGGTTGGATAAGAAGTATAAATATATATTGAGCTGACAACCTATTGGTTTGTCTGATCCATTACACCTGCAAATGACACAAATTATGTCACACTCCAGCAGGACATATCAGACACATGTAGCCTATATGATGAAGATCGTGGCAGAGATATATGCAGCAGGAAGCCTAGTGCATCCCAAGTTTGTTAATATTAACAATTTAATAAAAAGTTTACTTGTTATGATATATATA